GGGACTTTTTTTCCCGCGATTCGTGTTATCGCTGTCATAAAATCCGTTTTTGATAAAAATTATTGTCACCTGTCGGCGAATCGGGAAAATTGAAACTATATTTATAATTTGTCGGCAAACCAAGATGTCGGCAAACTAGACTGTCGGCGAAATGGGAATGTTTCTAAAATATTTTAAAACTGGTATATTTGTCGGCGAACTGAGTTGTCGGCAAAGTGGGTATGAACCGTTTCCACGTCGTCACTGATCATTATATTTTTTATACTCACCATCGTCAGTGGCCATTATCCAGTCAGTACCCTCGACCATTGACATAATAATTGATAATAACCTAACCATGATAATTTACTACCAAGTTGAGGGTGAATGACCTGAATGATGGCCCCAATGTATTGCACGTTAAGGTATAGGGAATGCGCAGTCCATTTATATTATGTCAATGTCCTCGACCCTAGAACAGAATTCAGAGAAGATATCTTCCCAACATCGTAATCTACTTGATCTAGTATCTAGTGTATCTAYAATTATTATCCGGTCTTGTAGAACATAGCAACTGATACTGAATGCAGAATGATGAATCAATAAATACATGGACCTATAAATATATATCATAAGTTTAGATAGGTCTATGAATAGTATGAATAAACTTTCTTGTGTCATGGCGTAAGCGGCAAGTGTATTTGTTCTTCCAAGCCGAGTGGCGGGCGACGTTATCAGTATCACGAATTCGCGACAGACGATAATTTCTATATTGTAAACAATTGTACAAAGCGCTATAGCAGCTCCACTAGCTTCAGGCTCCTCTCGTGACGTTCGGCGCCGAGAAGGAATCCAATGTGAAATTACACCAACAACTACACCTAATCTATTCATTCCGATTGTTATTTATTTAATAATATTGTTATTATGTCAATCGGTAATACACTAACGATAATAACGTTATGTACTCAAAGTTTGCACATAGCACAACGACTGCAATCTGTYGTTCCTACTGACCGTCCGTCATCGTCAGTCTCTGTATAACGTATGTCAACAGAAATTATCAGTGGAATCGGTTGCCACTTGCCTTCGTTTAAGAAATCCAAGATTGTGACTGCTTGGCCGCCCGCGGCTCGCCAACAGAATTGAATCACCACTGGTCTACCTCAGTCCAATTTGTTGTTCTCATACTTGGACTGCAGGCTAGTTGGACCCCTGTGAACATAACATCTWGACGGTATGTGTTAACCTACATGATAAATTGTTTACTACATTACTGTTACTATTTAGTGTGTAGCCTTCAAGTTAGATGTGTCTATGTCGGCACTGGATAAATTGTTGTTTGGAATATTTTTGAAATACCGTTTGCCCAATGACAGTTTTATCATTCATAAGTCTACTAGTTTACTTAGATAAATTTTAATTACAACTATTCTTAATGTTTATATATATATTAGATATACATACAATATATTCAATAGGTATTCATCCAAGATTAACATTTAAGATTAACTTATCACCATGATTT